ATTCATTTTCAAGTGAAAATCTATTGACTTGAAATAAAGAAAAAAAATTGATTCTTTTTTTTTTTTTTTTTTTTATTTGATAAAAGAAAATAAATAATTGTTATGATTTTTTCTCTTCCCGCTTTTTTCTTCTTCTTCTTCTTCTTTGAAAATCTTAAAATCTGAATTTGTACAACAAAGATATTTTTAAAATATAGAAAGAAAGAGAGAGAGAAAGAGAGAGAGAGAGAAAGAGAGAGAGAGAGAGAGAAGAGAAGAGAAGAAAGAGGGAGAGAAGTTGCCCTTAGATAGGTCGGAGTCTGGGTTTGGCCAAATTTAAATAGGAATTCGACCACATGGCTGAATTAATGCAAATGCATTCTCCACGTCGGACGATCGTATCTTTGCGGATCAGATGGGACTCTCAGAAAATCTCTCGGAGAATCACTCTTTTCCTTTCGTACGTCGGCCGGAGGAAAGTAAAAAACATAAAAAAAAAAAAAAAGAAAAAAAAAAGAAGTAAAATAAAGAAAAAAGAAAGGGGGGAGGGGAAAGAAAAGAAAAAAAAATAAATAAATAATCACGAGTATAATTTTATATTTAATGTAAATAATATCGTCGTTCGTTTGATCCTCTTCGAACGTCGTTCTCATTTATTTACCAGATTCTATTGATTTTCTTTCATTTCCTTCATCATCCACCTTCGATATGATCTATACTAGCATTGGTCCGTATTCATCGTAGCTCCTACATTTTTTTCCATTCTATCCCTTTTCTCTCTTTTTCTCGTTCTTTCTTTTTCTTTCTTTTTTTTTTTTAGATTTTTCTATATATTTTCGTTCTCTCTTCCTTTTTTTTTTTTCCTTCGCGAAGACTTAACTCCTTCGCCTTAGAAGTTTTCTGTAACTTACTATAAGACTTCCTTTACTTTTTCAGGAAGTTTCTTTCTATTTTCTTTTTCTTATATATATATATATGCATACATATAATGTGTATGTATATATATATATATGACCACCCTATGTATATATATATATATCGGACGAAATGTCGGAATTAAAAGAACAGAGTCAAAAATGGCGCGACTTTCTTAGTCATACACGTTCATTGTCCTGTGGTTTGATGATTCGTAATTTCACGTATAATGTTCACATGCATACGATTCTCTCTCTCTCTCTCTCTCTCTCTCTCTCTCTCTCTGTGTCTCTTTCACCCTATTCGCGTTCCCTTTATCTTATGAACTTCTCAAAACACAAATGACCGACCTTTAAACACGTGTCATTTGAACAAGGAAAACGTCGTAAAAGATGAAAGAGAAAGAGGAAAAGAGAGAGACAGAAAGAGAGAGAGGGGGGGAGAGAGAGAGACTCTTATTATTTATTCTCTTTTCGTTTATATTCGTACTTTTACATAAATATTTAACGAGGAAGTCTTTTATCGGATTCAATAAATTCATTCTCATTTGCAGATAATAAATATGACGATGATAATGATGATGTTGAAGATGATGATGATAATGATAGTTGATGATAATGAAACAAGTCCAAGTTGTTTCTTCATTGTCTTCTATCATGGTTCTATCAAGGATTCATCGAGTTTGTAAATAAATCTTTTACAAGATCGTTTTATCATAAGCATAAGGTAAGTTTATTAATTAAAGCACGAGGGATAGAAATAAGTATAATAATGTAATAAAAGAGAAAAAGAAATATCGAGAAAAAAAAAAAAGAAAAAAGGGGAAAAGAAAAGAACGAACGGGTTAGTCACTCGAAGTTCATCTGCATTCAAAATTCGTCCACCGAACTCGATCCTAGGTAATGAAGCAAACAGTATAAACGCTTTTGGTCGGCCTCGCAAAAGGAATTCTTCGGAACGGAAAGCGCGGTTTGGATTGTTTGAAAAGCTGCATGATTCAGAAATGAAAATTACGCGTATTCGTCGTTTGTTAATAGCAATATAAAATAATAGTAGTAGTAGTAGTAATAGTAGTAGTGATAGTAATAGTAATCCTCGTGTTCGTTCGTTTCTTCCTCGATTTTAAAAGGAAGTTAAGAATAATATAGCGATAGGATATAACCTCATCGGTATTATCTCTAACGTATTCATGTATAATAAAATTGTCATCAGATTTGTCCTTTCTCTATTGACAATTGTCAATTTCCATTATCCGTCCCTCAGTTTGGTTATTATCAATTCAAAGTATGTAAGTAGATAGACCATCGGCGATGTTAATCATTTAACTTCCTATACTTAAAAAACATTCTGATAAAAGAAGAGAGACGTAGATACATACAATGGTATTTACAAATAGTACGTATTAATAATGTTGAAATAATTTTTTTCATTCAAATTCATCTCGTTATAATATACAAATTATAACGTATACGTATATATGTATGTACATATGTATATTTATATTTTTATATATATAAGTTTTTAATATCAATAGAATGACGAATGTTATATTCTATAATGAGATAATAATAATACGGAGAGTCCGCATTGCGGAGGATGAACATTACGGTTCTGAGTGCTCCTATAAAGAAAAAGAACGTCTACTACATAGATCTTATTCGGACAAATCAAAGAAAGATGCACACTGTTAGAAGCCACCGAACTGTGCGATTAAACGTAAACGTTTACGTATTGGTATAACAGAGAGAGAGAGAGAGAGAGAGAGAGAGAGAAAAAAAAAAGAAAGAGAAGGAGAGAGAGAGAGAGAGAGATTACTCTCGAAGGTTTTTGACGAATTTATGTGTTCGTCTTGGTGAATAACAATTTTCAAAAGGATACACGACGAAAAAAATAGATATAAAGGGAGGCAAGAAGAACATTATATAAAAAAAGAAAGAAAAAAAAAAAAAAAGAAGAAGAAGAGGAAAAAAATAAACAACATAGATCTTCAAAGAAAATCTTGTATGATTTGTTCTTCTTCATAAAACGTAGAGATCGTATGCGTGTGCACTCGTGAAATGATACGAGAATATTTACGGTAGAAAAAGAGAGAAAAATAGAAAACGATAGAAAACTTTTGCGAAAAATATATAACGCGCAACTCGAAAAGAAGAAGTAAAAAAAAAAAAAAATAAAAAAGAACAACAAAAAAAAAAGGAAAAAGAAAAGAAATGTCACGAGATCATAACGAACGTTCTTACGTCAATGAATCGACTTAACATTCGAAATTATTTGTTTCCTTTCTTTTTTTTTTTTTTTTAATATCATGGTTCCACTCTTTCGGACAGTCGACGCACGTACGCGTCGTCAAAAAAAGGAGAGAGAGAAAAAATAAAATAAGAAAAGAAAAACATTCCAAATAACACGAGAGAATGCACTTTTAAACAAATGCACGAGTACTCCCCTATATCTTACGTATGTATCGTTTTCGTTAAAATCGACATGTTATGCAAATAATAATAATCATAAATAATATTTGTGATAATAAATAGTACTTTAATGTTACATCATTTACGAATGGACCATTAATTATTATAGCTTTTATTTCGTGACACCCCCCTCGAAACCATCATGCGCCATCATTAACATTGATTTTTTTCGGTAGAGTCTAAGAGCCTTCGTCCAAGCTACGTCGTCTTTCGAAAATGTATCCATATGAACGAAAAAGAACAAAAAAAGAAAAGAAAAGAAAAGAAAAGAAAAACAAAGAAGAAAAAAAATAATAAAAAAAAAAAAGAAAATAAAACAAAAATACAAGGCAAAAAGAAATTGGGAGAAAAAAAGAAGAAGTAAAAAACGAAAAACAAAAAACTAAAATGACATACCAAATGACAATCTAAAATCGTTAGAAATGATAATGACCTACCCCAAACAAGCACTTCTAGGACCTCCCAATCGTTCGATCGTCATGGTGGTCATTCTTTGTCACGATCATTTGTCAATGAACAAAGACGGACCCCACCGAAGCAAACAACAACAACACACGTAGATATATGTGTGTGCTTTGCTCGAAACAGCTGTTCTCTTTGTTTTTCTTTTTTCTCTTTTTTCTTTTTTTTTTTTTTCTTTTTTAATAATTTATTTTTCATATTTCAAAAATTTTTCTCTTCAATATTTCTAAAGAACGAGAGAAGAATACACGTGACTTTTATCAGGGGATGTTCTTCAGATAACAATAAAAAATATAAACAATGCGATACGTGTATATATATATATTTTTCATCGAGTATTTTGAAACTAAAAGAAAAAAGTGAGAAAATATAATTCTTGCACACGTCTCGATATATATATATATATATATATATATATATATATAATAATTATTTAAAGTTAAAATAATAAGTTTGTCTAGAGTTTAACTACCGATAATTATTATATCATAGAAAAGATTGTATTATCGTTTTAATATTATACATTGATAAAATGCAAAATCACAATCATGTAAGATTGTAAATATAAAAAGACATAATATGTGATATAAAAAAAAAATATAACATATAAAGTAATAAATATACGTGAATTTTTTATAATACTAAATTTCGAGGCGATCGTTGAAACATGAATTTATGTATGTTAACAAGAGAAAAGAGAAAAAAAAAAGAAAGAAAAAGGAAAAAATCTCACAAATATATGCGTTATAATTTTTAAATTAGTTGAAAAATTGTTTTGCAAATAAAAATATAAATGACGATTATGGGGATTGTTAAGAAGGAAAAAAGGAGAAAGGAAGAGAGAGAACAAAAAAAAGAAAAGAAAAGAAAAGAAAAAAAAGAAGAGGAAAGTCGAAGAATTTTATCGTAATAATTATTTATTATTATAAATATTCCTTTGAAATGAGAAATGATTAGAGATCGAGCGCAAGCGCCGACATCTTCGTTTTCGAAGAAAAGATCTCTTTTCTACGGATCGACGAAGGAGATAGATCCGATCCATCCACTCGAAGTTGGATCGTATCGATCGCTTTAGTAGTAGTGGTAGTGGTAATGGCAGTGGCAGTGGTGTATTGGTCGCTCGTGTGTCGAGCTGGAGGTATGGTGGGGGGTCTCGATAAAAGTCAGTGCCAGACTGATTGTGATTCAGAGTGGCGGTCGACTCCGGTCCCAGCTCCGCGTACTTCTCGGTCGTGCGCGTTATTATATCTTTTGACGAATCCTCTCTTCCTCTTTTTCATTTTATATATATATATATATAAATATATATATATATATATTTCCTTTTCCTAATATAATATACATCTTCCGAAAAAAAAAAAAAAGAAAGAAGAATTAATACAAAAGGATCCAAGTCCGATCTTCCAGCAAGAAAGAAAAAAGAAAAAAAAAAAAAAGGAAAACCAACCCCAATTCTTTCTTTATCGTCCTTTTTTTATCATCCTCCGTTAATAATCCCTTACGGTGACGAAACGATCGAAAGGGAAGAAAGAAATTCTATTTATTTCGATTTCGATCGGAACGAGTCTTAAGTTCGTAGAAGAGATTAACGAGATATAGAAAGAGATATATATATATATATATAGAGAGAGAGAGAGAGAGAGAGAGATACTGAGAGAAAAGTCGTGAAAAAAAAAGAAAAAAGAAAAGATTGGAATTGGTGTTGTGAAAGAAGGAAATTTTAAGGGAGACGAATCGAAGAAAGAAAAAGAAAAAGAAAAAGGAATATATATGTTTGAAAGAAAGTGAATAGAAAAAAAAAAAATATATATATATATATATTATTACGTTAATCGTTGGAATTAATATCGTGAGGAAAGATTTTTCATCGTCTTCCTAATATCTTCTTCCTTATTCCCTTTTCTTCCTTTTTTGGTCTGTCTCATGAATAATATGCGTATGTCCGTTTAGAAGAAGAAGAAGAAGAAAAAGAAGAAAAAGAAGAACATTCCTAAAACGTTTCGAATCATCTCGTTCGTTCTCACTTCTTAAGAAGATATAAAACGGAGAATAAAGAGAGGAAAAAAAAGGTGATACGTAAAAATAAAGAGAGAAGATCTAAAGGACGCACGCGTATACAGACACACACACATACGCCGTGTTGTGTGGAGAGAGAGAGAGAGAGAGAGAGAGAAAGATAGAGAGAGAGAGAAACCAATCAAGGAAACAAAAAAGAAAGAAAGAAAAAAAAGAAGTGTCCTGCAATTCAGGAAGACCTTCGAACGCGCGTGTCACACTTCTCGACGCATTCGGTTCTCGAATCTGAGAGACTGGTATTATTGATCGACCTCGTGTGCGCTAGAGGGTAGTTCCAAGTGAGAGAGAAAGAGAGAGGGAGAGAGAGAGAGAGAGAGAATTGTCTTTGAGAAGAACTAAAGTTTCACGGATGCAAAGTTTGCTCATCGTGTGACGTACATACGTTCTTCTTCTTTTTATTATTATTATCATTATTATCATATATTTTTTTGCCTTCTTCTTCTACTTTTTCCTTCCTTCCTTCCTTCCTTCCTTCCTTTCATTCTTTCCTTTCTGTCGTTCATTTCTTCCCCATTTTTTGATGGCGTTACATTGTGAAAAAGGAGGAGGAGGAGGAAGCATGGCACGAAGAACCATAAGAAGTTTATTATTCCTATTGGCTATTGTTGCGACCTTCCTATGCGATAAAACGGAAGCAGCACCTACGACAACAACGAATAATATTTCGGATCTTTCTGCTATGGTGAGTAAAAAAATCTTTCTTTTTTTTTTCTTTTTTTTTCTTTTTTTTTTCTTTTTTTTTTTTTTTATTTATTTATTTATTTACTTTACTCATTTCCTTTTCTTTTTCTTATCTTTTCTTTCTTTCTTCTCTTAAGAATTTTGTATATATTAATATTATATGTTAATATAAATTTTGAATATATTTAAATATATCCATATATACATAACGATTATTTATTTTACTTACGATTAATATAAATAATATTTCTATTGTTATAAAACGTATATTCATGTATATCTAATAAACGCGAGAAATGAAAAATCGTTAAGAGTGCCAGTATGTTAGGTAGGGTCTTTTTGCTTGCCCGAGTTATATCCCAGGCCTGCAACGAAGTCGATAAAGCATTAGAGAGGACCTAGACCGCTTTTAAAACTCGACCTAAAATACCTTGAATCATTTTAATTCTTTCTTCTTTACTATAAGCGATAGGATAATAAAAATTTAAAATATATATATATATATATATATATATATATATATTTTATACTAATTTATATTAATACTACGTACTATATTCCACTTCCTTTTACTTTTTTTTTTTTTTTTTTTTGTTTTTATGTAGTACAGTATATTCTGTTATATATTATACTACGTCTATTATATAGTATATTATAATCATTGCAGTATAAATACTATATACTTGATACAAGTACATCTTTTACTCGCACGTATATTTTTTTTAACGCTATGATTTAATTATTATAATTAATATATATATATATAAGTTTCTTTTAAATTTTTCGCGTATTCTACGTACGTATGCACGTACATTTATAAATGCGTAGTTGACTAATATCGGTGAAAAAAAAAAGAAAAAGAAAAAAAAAGAAGAAAAAAAAAAGAATTTGTCAAACGAATGCATTCGAACAAACGCATTCGTTTGACAAATTAACGTTGATAACATTACGTAGAACACATAGGGACTTTTTTTTATCTTTTAACAAGCACGACATAGATTATCTATCGAGTTATTTATCTTTATCTCGTCAAAAAATTCGCACTAACTAAATATGGAATTCTTTTGGACTTCGGTAAGAAAGAAGATATAGTTAAGTAATCCTCATATCGTTTTGTTATCTAGAAATCATCAACAACTATATTGACTCATTGGGGAAACACTGAAGTTTCGTCATTTTTAATATAATTTAAATTCTCTTTTTTTTTTTACATATATACATATATTAGTATATATATATATATATCGTAAAAAAATCGTACTCCTCTTTTTCTTTCTTCTTCTCATCATCGTCTTTCTATCCTTTTGGGAGAAGAAACATATTTTCAAAATGTTTTTATCGCCTTTTCTTTTCGAACGAGATCGATTTTCTTTTTTGTTCCTTTCTTGTCACTTGGATATTTTCTTTTCTCTTTTTTTTTTTCCTTTTTTTTTCTTTTTTTTTTTTCACTAACGTTCACTACACACGAAGAAGTCGTTGTCGATGATTCGATCTCTTGGCCTTCGAATGAAAACGGGAAAATAACTTGTTCATTTCTATTTCTTTTATCCTTTTTTTTTTTTCCTTCTTAATTCTTTTTCTTGTTTTATTTATATTTTTTTTTCGCGTGTGTTTCTTTTTTCTTTTCTTTTTTTTTTCTTTTTTTCTTTTTCTTTTTCATTTTTACTCCATTACTTCCGACTATTATTTTTTGCAAGAAAGAACGAACGACGTTCTAATGTAGTACTCGAACGAACACGGGCTGATTAGAACGTGCCAATTATCCATAACGCGATGTTCTTCCAACAACATGTAATATAAATAATTTTGAAATAAATGTGTGCGTATAACGTGTGCATATATGTATATATACATATATATATATATGTGTGTGTGTATGTGTGTGTGTGTGTGTATGTGTCTGTAAGTTTCGCTATAAATATTATGGTAATACGTGATAAGATGTTACATCTCGTAATGAAAAATTTTAATAGGAGTTTGATATATAGTACTATTAGAATGATATTACGTGCATTAGAAACTGGAAAAGTACTAGTCGATAATAATTCAATAATAATAATAATAACAATAACAACAACAGCAATAATAATAATAATGATGATGATGACGATGATGATGTTAATTTTTCATTCATCTTTTCACTCAAATAGTAGTCGATAAATTTCAATGATGACAACACCAACAACAATAATAATAATAATAATAATAATAATAATGTTTATTTCATTCATCTTCTTTCTCAACGATCGGACCGGAATAATCATAATCCTTCTTCTTCGTCTGTTTCGAGATATAAAGAGAGACAGAGAAAAGAAAGGAAAGAAGGAAGAAGTGAAAGAGAAAGAAAAAAGGAAAAAAAACTAAAAAAAAATCAACGAAAGAAAGTCAATGCACATATAGGATATACATGACGCGTTTCAGTAGTTGCACGTGCTGCAGAAGAACACGTGTGTGACTACTGTAAAAAGTTAGTAAGAGAAAGAGAAAGAAAGAGAGAGAGAGAGAGAGAGAGAGTGAGAGAGAGAGAGAGAGAGAGAGAGTGAGAAACTGAAGGAGGGAGCGAGCGAGCGTCGTCAGTGTCGCATTTAATTACAATGCCGTGGTGAATGTAAAAAAGGGGATCCACGAAAAAGACAACGTTGTTATTGTTGTTGTTGTGTTGTGTTATTGACAACGAAGTCGACGAGGAGATAAAAAGAAAAAAAAACACCACACAGATACACACACACACACACACACAGACAGATAGACAGACAGAGACAGAAGAAGAAATAAATATGTTAACCAACGAAAATGCGTTCGATAAAAGGATCTTTTATCGATTAAAAAAATCTTCCATTTCTATGATTATCTTTTCTTTTTTTTTTTTTTTTTTTTTTTTTTTTATTCTAATAACGTCGATCTAATCTAACTATGAACGATCGAGTTCTCAATTCGATATCTTCGATAAGAACGATACAGTAAATGGGACTTACATACGATATAAGACACGCTAACGTTAGTATAGAAACTAGGCTAATTCTAAATTCTTCTAATATTTCTCTTTCTCTTTCTCTCTCTCTCTCTCTCTCTCTCTCTCTCTCTCTCTCTCTCTCTCTCTCTCTTTCTTTCTTTCTTTTTCTCTGTACAAGTAGTAATAAGTAGTAATAGTAAGATTTTACTTGTTCGAACGTAGGCAGTAGTAGAAACGTCGAATCAGACGTAAATACACACACACACACACACACGCGCGCACGCGTGTAAGTATATGTACTTACATACATAAGTATGTACATATGTATGCACTCTGCAATCGCTCATTCTTTGCACTTTAAATAGAACAACGAACTTGATGGAATCTTTAGATTAGAAATAAAAAAAAAAAGAAATAATAAAAAGATAATAGTAATACTAATAATAATAATAATAATAATAATAAT